TCTCTCTGAATTTGCCAAATACAAATGGACTGAATATTGTAAATGTAATCCTTACATGGTAACTGTCTTTGTTGTATATAGATTTAGTGTGTTAAAGTTAAAACCTTTCATTTTTATTTAGATAAAAAGGGAGAAATGTTGTAGAATATTAGTTTAAGATGTGTTGCATTTTTTTATGCTGTGGAATATTTGTTTAAAGATGCCAAGATGTGTTGCATTCTTTAATGTTACATTTATTTAACTCTGTAAAGATGTGTTACTTTGCCTATCTGAAACACCTGATTGGTTTAATAAAGAACTGAGTGGACAATAACTAGGCAGGAGAAAAGAATAGGCAGGGTTGGCAGGCAGAGAGAATAATTAGGAGTGAGAGAAGGAGAAGGAGAGGACACCAGGGACCAGCCACCCAGTCATACAGCCAGCCACCGAGAAAGAAGAAAAAAAAGATATATAGAATAAAAAAGATAGAAAGCCCAGAGGTAAAACATAGTTAAAGAAAAACAGGGTAATTTAATTTAGAAAAGCTGGCAAGAAAAAGCCAAGCTAAGGTTGGGCATTCATAAGTAAGAATAAGTCTCTGTGTATTTATTTGGGAGCTGGGTGTCAGGTGCCCAAAGAGAAAACAAACCAAACAAACAAACAAGCAAACAAACAAACCCAACTGCACCATGAATCACTACTAAGAAAGTGCCTTTCAGTCGAATTTTAGGGAGGCACTTTCTCAATTAAGGTTCCCTCCTTTCAGATAATTCTAGTTTGTGTGTCAAGTTGACATGAGACTAGCCCTTACTAGGGAAGTGAGGAGAGAAACTCTTAAGCAGAAACTTGAAGCAGAAGCTATGGAGGAGCACTGCTTGCTGGATTTCTTTCTTTGCAGTGTCATGCTGGCTTATCTTTCTTATACAGCCCAGGACCACCTGCCCAGGGAGTATGCCACCCACAGAGGGTGGGGCCCTCCTAGTTAATTAACAAGCCAGACAATCACCCACAGACATGCTTGTAGGCTAGCTTGCTCTGTATAATCCTCCAACTGAGACTTCTCAAGTAACAGTAGCCTGTGTCAAGGTGACAGTTAAAACTAACTAGACAATGCTTTGTAGCCAAGTCCTCACATATTGAAAGGAGGGAGCTAGTTCTCTGGTATCTGCTTTGAGGGCACAAATCCTACTCATGAAGGCTTTGACCGCCTTCCAAAGGCCCCATTTTGCAACACCGTCACGTTGACAGTTTCAACATGTGCATTGTGTGGGAGTCCTGCTGCCCTCCAGGACAGATGCCTCCTTCTCAGTGGAGGGTCCCTCCCACAGGGTGAGACCTCCCCCTCCTTCCCAAAGCCACACCACTCTTGTGTCTTTCCCCAGAGGCAGTGGAGCCCAGAAATAATGGTTTCTTGTCCTTCTTCCAAGAATGTCTTGTTTTTCTGCTATAGGATAGAAGATTCTGGAAAGCAACTGGGATGAAGCCATTTGCGGGAGGCCAGCTCCCTGGGTGGCCTTGGGCTGAGACAATCTCCCGTCTTTCCTGCTCGTGTTTTGTCGCGTCTGCTGCGCGGCCTGTGTCCGAGAACGTGCGGAGGGTGTCGGGGATTGACAACACAGAGACTTGTTCAACGATGTAAAGAAAACTTTAAGCAGGCTCCAAAAAGTTCAAGAAAACTTCCTAAGAAAGGCTCCCACCAGAGAAGCTTCTGCTCTCTCCTCTCTCCTGGCTGGTTCTGCCCTCACACCAAAAACTGATCTGGGCGTGGCAGAAGAGGCGGTTAGTCTTTGGACAAGGTCGAGGGTGGTTTCTGTGGGCAGGCCTTTTCCAGGAACTTATTGCCCCCGGGCATTGTATTGTTTTTAGTAAACATGTTTTTAGTAAACATTGTCTTACAGCTGCCTACTCCCAGGCAGAAGGGGAAGTGGGTCTCTGCTCAAGGTCTGGTGTTCCCACAGTGTTTGTCAAGAATAACACAGATTTCTAGTGGCCAGGACTTCCTGAGATTAGGAAGAGCTGGTTGAGACTGCCTCACCACACCTGCGTGCAGCCCATTACATTGTCCCAAAGGCTTTGAGAGCTGAGGACTGATTTCTGGGGCTTCTCAGCTGCACTGTAAGTGGGACCTATATATGAAATGCCATCTGCCTCAGTCACTGTGGAAGACCCACTTGTCATGACCCCTGGGCTTTTGCTGGCCCTTGCTGATTGGAGGTCACAGATTGCTTCATGTGGTACATGTATTTGTGAGAGAGGGAGTGGGGGGAGTTACTCCATAGAGTAAGGCTCCCAGCAAGGGCTGGACTAGTCCCTGGAGCACCTTGCACAGACCCTGCCATGGGTCCTGATGCTTCTTCAAGCAGGTAGTCACCCTTGGTGACCATGTGACCTCAGTTCTCTGATGGATTTAAGAAAAATTACTATTCTGCAGATGAATTTGTTGTTTCCTCCTGGCTGGGTGGGGGATGCTCTCCCACAGTTTCCCATTCCCTAGGGAAATAGAACCCCGACTGAATCAGTCTCCTAAGATCAAGGAACTTTGACATGTTTCAAACAAAAAAAAATTGGGGGGTGGAACAGCTGAAAAAATACCATATACAATGTTTCCAAGGAGAGGTCCACACACCTGCAGAATCTGTGCTTAGAAAGTGACAGAATTCTGAAAAATGAAATCAGAGAAGATCTAAGTGGTGGACTGTGCTCATGGATCAGAAGAATTAACATAGTAAAAAGTCAATTCTCTCCAAATGATCTACATTTTTCAGTGCAATCCCCGTAAAAAAATCCCAGAAAAGCTTTCTGTAGGCATAGGCAAGCCTATTTTAAAGCTTCTATAGAGAGGCACAAGCCCCAGATAATAAAGCCCAGAAGAACAAAGTGGGAGGAATTACTTGAATTGATCTATAGGAATTTCGACAGTTCTGTGCCAGCAGAGGGGTAGACCTGGAACAGACAGGCGCATAGCTCAGAGGCAGAGCACTTGCCTGGGTTCCATCCTCAGCAATCCCATCACACAGAAAGGAGAGGATCAGAATAGAATAGAAAAACACAGAGCAGCGGGGTGTGATTGGTGCTCACTTACAATGCCAGCCCTCAGGAAGCAGAAACACCAGGATGGGGAGTTCAACTTCAACTGCAACCTGGGCTCCCGAGACTTTCTCAGCTCTTTCCCAATACGTATGCTTGTGGAGCAGTGACTCTCAACATGCAGGGCACGACCCCTTTGGGGTTGCATATCAGATACTTACATCATCCATAACAGTAGAAAAATTATGGTATGAAGAAGCAACAAAATAACTGTATGGTTGGGAGTCACCACAACATGAGGAACTGTGTTAAAGGGTTGCGGCGTTAGGAAGGTTGTGAACATCTGCCTTAGAAGCCAGAGGTCGATACTGTGACTCATCCTCCATTGCTGTTCTACCTTCTTCATGGAAGCAGGGTCTCTCAGTCAATCCTAGAACTTGCTGGTATGGCATGTACACTGCCTTATCTTGTGCTGGCTAGTCTAAGGACAACTTGACTTGAGCTACAGTCGTTTTTTGGAAAGGGAACTGCCGCTGAGAATATAACCCCATCAGATTGGCCTGTGGGCGAGTTTGCAATGCATTTTCTCCACTGATGAATCATGAGGGAGGGCTCCGCTCACTGGGGCGATGCCACCCCTGGGCAGGTGGTTCTGGGTGCTGTGAGAAAGCAGGCTGAGCCAGCCACGAGTGAGCAAGCCAGTAAAAATGCTCCTCATGGCCTCTGCATCAGCCCAGCCTCCAGGTTCCTGTCCCGACTCTCCTCAGAGTTGCCAGCCGAAATAAAACGTTTTCCTCCCCAAGTTGCTTTTCAGTTATGGTGTTTTATCATGGCAATAGAAACCCTAACTAACACACATGTATACCCACACGTGAAAACATTAGTTGCAAATGATAAACTATGATGGGAAGGTTTGTTTTAGCTGCTGACTCTAGCTCAGGGAGGGGCTAGCTCTGCGGTTGGCTCTGCTGACAGAGTCCTGGTGTGGTACAGGGAGGATACACGGACCTGACCACACTGGCTCTTATTGCAAGTCCCCCCTCAGAAGAGACATTAACCTCTTCATCCTCTAATCTCAGAGGGAATCCAGTTACTCCATGGGGGTGGAGCCCCAGCCTCTTGGAGGCCCCGCCTCTTCTTTATTTTTTCATGATAGGGTATCTTTGTAGCTTTGGAGCCTGTCCTGGACTTGTTCTAGGCTGAGCTCTGGGATCGCAAGCAGCCATCTCATTTTAGCTATGTGGCTTTTAGTTTCTTTCTCGCCCATCCCCCGCTGGAGGTCAACACCACGGTTGGGAGTGCTCTGCCAAGAAGCAGTGCTCAGCAGGCTCAAGGCACTGTCTACACAGTGAAACACCAGCAGCCCTGATTTCAAATCTAAGGGTTTGCACCCCGGAGGCTGAATCCCGCCTGGTTTTCTTCTTTCTCCCCTGCAGGCTCAAGTCCCTGAGCCGGAGAACGCCGGTATGGGGCCTGAAACAGCAGCCTGAGCGAGGACTAGGGAGACGCTGAGATGCTTCTTTCTGGGGAGACCTGGCTGGATCTCCATCCTCCCACCCCTTGGGAACTCAGGACACAAAGCCTGTGGACATCCCAAGCCACACATTCAAGCCCCACCTGCATTTCCACTAACTGCTATTTTGAGTTACAAATGCCATCTGACCAAGTAAAGGAGGACTAGCATCGTGCATACATTTAGAATGGTCTGGACCTTTGAGGCTGGTGGGTATTTATGTGTGTGCCTGTTGTGTGTCCAGAGCACTTGTAGCGCTGCACAGAGGCTGTCACTTGCTGTCAAGACGGGAAAGTGGAGAGCCAGGCCTGCATGCTCACAGCTGTCCACTAGGGGGCGCCCACGCTCCGCAGAGAGGCCGCCATGGGCGGAGAGGCCACACTCCGAAAAAGAAAGTAAGATTGTGGAAGGAGATTGCTTAATCTTTAAAAATCCCAGCTCCATAACACCAAGCCTCTCTTTAGACTTCATGAGCACGAGATGAGGCGATTTTCCCTAGCTGAGCGGCCTAGAGCCACTCAGAGGCAAGGGTTTGGACTCAGTGACTTTTGTCCCTTCAGACATTGAAGGGGCCAGGAAGCGTGTGAGCACGGCTGAAGTTTCAAACCCATACCCACCCCCACCCTCTTGTCCCCTCTTCTGTAACACTGGCATGCTGGGAAACAGATACCTCCTGCCTTTCTCAGCCCAGAGGCTTCACTGCGAGTACTGTCCAGCCACACCACATCTGGGGCCTGCCCATCCCTGGATTTGTGTATCTGGACAGTGGGACAGTGAGCCAAAGGTAGGGCCTTCCTTGGCGGCCTGACTCTCGGGGTGTGCTGGGTGAGTTGATCTGCCTCTACTCTTTGGGGCCTCACTGTGGGCCAGGCCTGCTGCTGCTGGCTGGGAGTAAGGAATAGAGAAGCCAGGCTTTGTCCCAGGGACTGTGACTTTCGGGGAAAGGGGGATGGTCTAACTAGTAAGCACCCAACAGCCACCGGTGGTGATGACAGAAGCCACCAAGGGTCTAGACAGAGAATAACCAGGAACCAGGCAAGGCAATGGACATCTGTACTCCCAGTGTGTGGGAGGCTAGGGGCGAAAAATCACAAGTTTGAGACTAGCCTGCGCTATAGAGAAAGAGTCTGTCTTAAATATTGATTAACTGATCGCGTGAGAAAAGGCTAATGAACATTTAAGCCGTGAGTTGACAGATGGGATGGAGTCAGCCATGCAGAGGCCAGGCAGGCAGACGGAGAGACACAGAAAAGGAAAAACCTCAGTCGTTTTCTGAAAGCTCCTGGGGCTGCTGGGTGGGGGTCTGACAGGAGAAGGAAACTGATATCGCAGTTCAGCAGGGTCTCTGTGTGGCTGTCACAGCAGGGTGGAGAGGGAGGGCACAGGCAGGGATGCTGGCTGGTGTGCAGAGGTGTTCTTGTCCGAGGTGGGAGGGGACTGGCTGGATCTGTAGGCAGGAATGGAGGAAGCCCAGAACAGGATCTCGGACCCTTCCTCCTTTTGCCCTGCCCTCGGGCTGGGTGGGTTGTGGTTCTACCGGCATCAGGCTCCAGACCTCAGCCTGGCCTCAGATCACCTGGCACTGTGGCAGACCCATCCCTGAGTCCAGGTGAGGCTGAGAAGTCCTCAGCTGGGCCCTCCCCAGAGCCTAGGATTGGTACCCACTAGGACTCCGGTGACTTTGTTATCCCCTTCCAGACCCAGGCGAGGGCTGCAGTGGTGATGGCAGTTGCGGGTAGAGGGCCGCCATGATAACACAGCACCTTTATCTTTTGACTTCCTTTCTAAATTATTGTTTTGTACCCTGGACAGTGGCAGGGACACCGTCCAGGTACAGCAAACAGAGCAGAACCCATCCTTGGAGGCAGAGGGGATGCCCCAGCCAAGCCTGTAACCAAGGACCATGGGTGTCACATGGCTGGGGAGACGGGAGGGACATTCTCTTCCCTTGATCCTTGTGGGATCATTCTTTCTTCAGGTCTCATCTCTCTTGGTACAAGTGAGCCTGAGTCAACGCTCCTTCCATGCTGGGGATGTTCATAGCTGAGCTCCACTCATGCTGCACGGCCCGCCTGCTGCCTCCACCTCTAAATGAAGACTGGGCTTCAGATGGTAGGTGCAGCTTGCCCAAACTCAGACCTATTGTAAGAGCAGAGCACCCCTAAACAGCAGGAAACTTGGGGTACTCAAGAAGATCACACAAATCTCCTTAAAGGACTGAGAAAATCCCAAGGTGGGGTCCGGGCACAAGCCTGGGGTGACATTTGAAACACCACAACAGGGTCCTGAGATGCACCTTGACCCATGGGACCCCTCCCTCTCCCCAGAGTCGGGTGTTTCCCTTCCACTGGAAATGCCTAGGAAATGTCAATGGTGGGCCCTCCCTCCTCCCTTGAGTCGAGTAGCAGCTCAAATATATTATACATATTAAAAGAATATATTCTCTGGCAGCCCTGAAGGGGATAATGAAACCTATATATATATCTATATATTTATACACAATGGATTGGCTGGGAATGCTCCGAATATCCCTCCAGCTGTGGCAATTCTTTGATATATGGCACAGGACTGATGCCTCCCCACCAGCCCCTGGCGGGAGACATTAAAGATTTAAAAAAAGGGGGGGGGGAGAAGGAAGGAAGCAGAAGGAGGAGAAGAAAAAGGACACAGCTGCTTTTGCCCGTGGCTGTACAGCGGGAAGCTGTGTTTAAATATTAAAGCCACCCATCACCCAGCCCAGCTGTCCGCCCCCTCCAGTGGCCTGGGACTGCACTGGGTCTCCTGTAGCTCTGAGTGGCTAGAGTTAGATCCAGACAGTTGAGTCTAGACCTAGTAGTGTAGCGTGGGCGAGGGGGTGTACTTCAAGTCCGACCTTAGCCTTCAGGCTTACCTTGTCTGGGGGAAGGGCCTGATGGGGGAGTGAGGAAGGGTGTGGGCAATTTGAGGCAGATTTAGGCTTCACCTTGAGTGATGGTTTGGCATGACATGACCGTGTCCTTATGACATGGAGTTTTGGACTGGATCTGGGAATTTTAAGGTGTCTAGGAATCCTTGGACACATTACCTGCCACTTTAGGGCAGCTCTGATGAGTTGGGGTCCTCCTCTGAGTGGGTAGAGAATCTTATTTCTCTGCTAACTCTTCAGGGTCCCCGGCAGGGTCTGACTTCTGTTGTGTCCCCAATGTATGTAGAAGAGGCACTTTGTAGATGTCTGTTCATGATCAGGGAGGGACACAGAAAGGCTCACAGTGTTCAACAACATACTTAGAGGTGCTCAGAAGTGACCTTCAGGAAGGGCCTTGCAGGGAAAGCTCTGGCCACTGAAGGAACCCAAACAGAGGCCACGTGAGTGAGGATGCTAGAGAGAAGTTGGAGCATTTGATGGGAGCTGGCTGTGACGTCCCTTCCAGTCCACATTTCTATGATTTTAATATCTGATGATTACATAGAACCAGCAATGGCTGGGGAGAGGAGACAGCAAGCAGTTTGGGGGCTCTCTGTGTTGGTGGAACGTCTTGATACATGGCCTTGCTCCCTGAGTGCCTCTTAGGGTGCGGGCATTCCAGGCAAGGGACATCTTGGCCATGTGACACCCATGTAGTCTAGATCCTTGGTTACAGGCATGGCTGGGGCATCCCCTCTGCCTCCAAGGATGGGTTCTTCTCTGTTTGCTTTGCCTGGACGGTGTCCCTCTGCCACTGTCCAGGGTACAAAATAATAATTTAGAAAGGAAGTCAAAAGATAAAGGTGCTTCTTCAGACTTTAATACTGGGATGGAGTTTGGAACCAACACCCTGTAGTTACTGAAGGACAACTCTGTTTGCTCATGGTCACACAGCTCCAGGAGAGACTAGTAGTGGCTGGAGTGTGTTGAGCATCTGCCTGGAGGCCGAGCCAAGCTCAGCACCCTGATTTGTTGCTTAGGCTGAGGTCTGAGGAACAGACCTGGAGACACATATACATATGAAGGTGGGCCTGGGCAAGAGGCCTGATGAGGCTACAGGGCTGTCCAAGGAAGGGGTAACCCAAGCAAGATGATGACATCAGGAAATGCCTTATCTGGTCCCATGGGGGATGGGGCCATGCCATGTAGTCTGGGAGGGCAGAGCTTTCAAACTCTTGCATCTGTCAGTCACTGGCTAAGACCCACTATGGTGCCTGATGTCACAGGGACTTAGGAGACACTGCAGTCTCAGGTGAAGCTACTTATTAGCATAAAAACTGATGATCTGGGGACAGAAGGAGCACAGAGTGGGCCTGAAGTGTGCAGTGAAGACATGGTTCCACAGGGGCTCGCCCCGTCCTTACAGCAGCCTTAGGACTGCTATTTTGACTTTTCAGATGGGAAATACAAGGTACAGAGAGGTGGAGCAACTTGCCCAGCAGGACACAGCCAGAGGATGTTCCAGCAGGGCAGAGCCCTGGCCAAGTTGGTCCTGAACTCAGCTCCTGTCACCTTCCTCTGCTGGGAAGGGGGTGTGGCTGAAGGGGGAGGAGAAGGTGCCCGCTGTGGGAGGAGCTGTTGGTAGCAGGGAGGTTTCTGATGAGCCGAGGGGGAGTGGCATTGGATGTGGCAGCGAGGAGGGGTTCACATAAAGTTCCCTTGCCCACCCGGCGTCCTCAGCCCCACTCACTGTAAACTAGAGCAACAGGTACCTGTTCTCTCTGCTACTGAAAGAAGTAAGGTGTCTGGTCTAGCCCTTGGCCCAGCCCATGGGGGCTGAAAGCAGAAGCTGCTGTGTCTGTCAGGCCAAGGAGTGCCAGGCTTTGGCCTAGGGAGGAGAAACAGTGCTAGGCTACCAGACTAAGTCTGGAGTGTTAGAGTGGACAGTGTCCTTGGGAGCCAGATCTGGTAAACTTCCCATCCACTGGGTCATTTCAACCCCAAGGCACTCTAGTGGTTATAATTTATCCCAATAAATCCTGGAGAATTCCAGAATGGCCAAGTGATTTCTCTGGGTTGTAAGTAGGGTTTGACTTCAGGTCTGCTGTCGTGTGTGTGTGTGTGTGTGTGTGTGTGTGTGTGTGTGTGTGTGTGTGTGTGTGTGTGTGTGTGACCCTGGGCCCTTAGTTGCTTATTGTGTGAACATATATACAGTTGCACTGGCCTGCCCTGTACCAGGCTTGGTGTGTGTTGAGAGGTGTGGTAGCAGACAGAGCAGGCCCTGGCCTTAGAATGCTCACTGCCCCAGAAGGAGAGGGCAGTCATGTGGCTTGTTCTTCAACCTCTTTCTGCCGCCAGAGTGTCAGTCGGGCTGGGGTCAGGGAGGCGGCCACCAGAGCTGAGTAGGAGTCAGTCAGCAGGCCCAGAAGATGGTGGGAGGGGCTTGTGATCCAGCCATGGGTCAGCATGTACCCAGGCTCAAGGCTGGGAAAGTAGGGCCTCAGGAGGTTCCACGGGAAAGCCAGGTGGTCAGAGAGAAGAGCTGAGGTAGTGGAGGCTTCGCCCGAGAGCCTGGGTAATCATGAATGTGCCTTTAGCAGGGGGCATATTTACTTCAGTGTGGGGTATGGACGGGAGGTCTGAGGGCCAGCAGGGCACCAGGAGAGGCTGCCCATATCCAGACGTGAAGGAAGTGTGTGGCTGGGTTAACACTGGCTTAGACAGCTGTGACCTGTAGCTGGAATCTTCTCTCTGTACTAGCTGATTCCTAGTCACAGCCAAGGCTTGTGAGTGGTGAACTCCCGTGGTCATTGACATCGGGCTGGGACCAAAGGAGTCAAGGTTGGGGATGGAGCTGGTGGTGTCTAGTGGAAGGACAATCCCACCCCAGAGCTGCCTCCTCAAGCCAGAATGGAGCCAGGCTCCAGACTTCCTGGCTGCCTAGGCCGTGCTTCTGGGCCCTAGCAATGGACTCCCAATGGGATATTTTAGCCAGGGATTTGGTTGCAGATGGGAAGGGCAAGTTTCATAGTCGAAAGCCTCTGGAATCCTGGCAGGTCCCCAAGCCTACCTTCAAAGCCCGAAGCAACAGGGGCTCCTTGCCACCAGCATCCACAGATCTCCATTCTCAGGGTTTCAGGGCCAAGAAACAGCTTTACCACCTGCCTGTTACTCCATAATATAGTCAGTCCTTTGGCTGTGCAAATCTTCCAGATGCCCTTTTTAAAGACGCACGCCTCTATAGGAAGTCCTTACTCTGGGTCCACATTGACAGACAGTTGAGATTGGAACTGTTTGTTGGCTAGGACTCTGTGTGGCCAGTAGTTAGAGGAAGAGTGTCCTGTTCAATCCAGGTCACCATACTCTGGCCTAGGAGCCCTCTTAGAGGACAGAGGCACTGTGGGATTACTAGGGAGAGAGGAAAGTGAGGTCAGGTAAACTGAGGAACCAAGCAGGTCTGAGTAAACACCCTATTAATAAACACCTTGGTCTATGGAGGTGCTCCTGGCCGCCATCTCCAGGAATTGGCAACACTGCCGTTAAATGAAAGTATTGCTTTACAAGCATCTTCACCAACTCTTAACACTGGATAAGCTGCAAGCTGCTTGACAAACATCCTGGTGGGCAACCGCACTCGCATCGAGTGTGCACACTCCTCACAGGTAACCTTCCTTCCACAGCTGACTTATTCCACAGCAGCACCTAGGCAGGAGGCGGGAGCCAGGGCCCAACAACAGCAGTTAGGACCGGGCTGGCATTAAGGAGTCTGGAGAGAGAGGCCCACCATCCTGCCTTGTGGGGTAGCCACAGTCCCGTCAGGTCTTCCCCAGCGGCAGGCTGGATCACCCCTCCAGTGCACCCCAGGCCACCCCACTAGCAGCAGTTGCTCAGCTCAGGACTTGGGTGAGCATGTGAGCAGAAGATGGAAACAGCCAGGACGTGAAATGCATTATGCAGCTGGGCCTGCCTGCCCTGCCCCCCCCCCCCGGGCCTCGCTTCCTCTTTTGTGTCAGAGATGAAAGTCCAGACAGAAGTGTGTGGGAGCTGAGTGACTGCAGCCCCTCTCCCCTCCTCCTCCCTCGGCTCTTTTCTCTCAGCTAACCCCCTCCCTCCAGTCTCAGTCTTTAGTTCTCTTCACTGCTGCCCGGTGGCCTGAGTCTGCTGGCTTCTCCCCTGCCATTCCAGCTGCCTCTCATGTCTGGGTCCTTCTCCTGGCGCGCCATCTTTCAAAGCCTTTTCCTTTACCTCACCTGCCTCATCTCAACGTGCCCTTTCTGGTACTCCTTTTTCCTAGTTTTCTTTCTATCTATCTATCTATCTATCTATCTATCTATCTATCTATCTATCTATCTATCTGTCATCCTCCACATCTTAATCCAAGTACCTCTTTCCTCCAGGAAGGCTTCCTTGATCCTGAGCCTAGCTGTTCCTGTATTCTCTTCCCTCCTGGAAATGTGTCCTTGCTTTGAGCGCTGCTACTCAGAAGAGATGAAGACTAGCTGTAGCCTGGGTTCCTGGTATGCAGTAGGCGCTTAATGACGATTGCTTTTCTCTCTGACTGTCCTAGCTCCCTGGGTGCTCCTCTGCGTGTGTCTCACTTCTAGGCTCAACAACTCCTGGTGGTCCTGGCTGAGCCTTGGCTCGCAGCCTCCTGTTCCCACAGCTCTCAGAGTGGGGACTGGCACCAGCATGAGGCTCAAAGTGACAGGTGCCAGCCAGGAGGTGTCCCCGTCTCTCCTTTGTTGAAGAATTGTCAGTGCCAAAGAGAAGGGGACTTGACACTTCAATCCAACAACTGGGCCAACATGCCTTGTGACCCTGGGCAAGCCATGTCATTGGTTCTCCATCTGTGGAGGTGACAAGGAGCAAGAGGACAATGGATGAATGTGGACTCTGAATAGTAAATGGTTTCTTGGTGGCTGTGACCTCACATACCTACCCTAAGAGAGCAAGAAGTCAGTCTGCAGCCCCCAGAGAGCCCAGACCTGGGGTCTTGAAGTGCTAGGGCTCTTTAGTGAGTGGAATCAGTAGAAGGGAAGTCAATGCTTGTGATTATTGAGCGTCTACTGAGTACAGACACCAGACAAGGCTTGGGCTCCACCAGCAAGGACAGCAAGATTCTATCTGGCTTCCCAGAAGGTTTCACCACATTGCATGTCCTATAGCTAGAATAGAGCACTTGTGTATAGGTAATGGAGACATCCAAATGGGACAGCCGTTAGGACCATCCTACTGTGTGCAGGCAACAAGGATGCCAGGGTGGGACAGCCATCAGTACTACCCTACTGTGTACAGGCGACAAGGATGCCAGGGTGGGGCAGTCATCAGGACCACCCTACTGTGTGCAAGCAGTGGGGATGGCAGGATGGGGCAGTAGCCATTAGGACCACCCTGGTCAACTTGAATGTAGGCGCCTCGGTTTGCCTTGTAGAGAAATTTCCCAGCAAGCCCCTCATCAGAGGTCACATGTGCTGGAAATTGAAGGGTCAAAGTCTAGATTCTCCTGACTTTTTGGCCCTGTTTCCTGGGGACCTTGGCTCTATCCACCCTCTTTCCAAGTCCCAGTCTTGCTCTCTATGCTATTAGTGACCTTGAAGATCTTCCCAGCAATGTAAGTCGGTGGAGGAGAACAGGGGACAGCAAGGGCACCCAGCCTCGTGTCCGCTCCTGGGCCAGCCTGCAGAGGCTGCAGAACTTCTTTTTCTGGTCCAGAAGGGGTTCTTATTATTGCTTCCAAATGACTTTTGCATCCATTTCTTTGCTGCATTTTGATTTTGCATTCAATTTCCGGTCCATTCATGTGTCTGCGCTACCTGGGGGATGTGAAATTGAGGCAGCCGAGAGTGCGGTTTGGCTATGCCTGACAGCTCCCGCTCCTGAGAGTAAAGCATGTGCCTGACAGGCCTCAGCAGGAGGCTGGGCACTGGGACCGATGCCCCTGCCCAGCTCCAGCAGATTAAATCAGATGAGCCCCGTGCTCTGAAGCTGGGCCCCACCCCACTGACCCGGTGCATATACCTGGGTGGTCAGACAATGTGGGAGCCTGGCCAGAACTGGAGAGGAGGTCAGATGTGTGGGGCTCTGGATTTTACAACTTGACATCTAACTTGGATGTGCATTACATGCCCAGGGAGACCAGGGTTCAAGTTCCAAATTGACCTTCCTGACAACTCTGTAACTGCCATCTGTAGACTGTTGGAGCATGTAACCTGACCTGGCCACTTTTCTGCCAAACCTTTCCATGATTCCCCATTTCCTTCAGTCTAAGCCCTCCCTAATGCCTTTTCTGCTGACCAGGCCAGCTGCACACCAGCCTCCTCCCTCCTACGCACGCCCCAGCATCTCCCACAGGCTCTTATTTCCCTTCCTCTAGATGGCATCATGTGGAGTAGGTCCCACACCTTACTTGACCCTCAATCAATAACAAGGGAAGGCTCAGAGAAGGTAAGCAAGTTGCCCATAGTCACACAGCAGGATGTTCATCTGCCAGTCTAACTTTGGAAGCCATGCCTCTGAGCCTGGAGTCTCAGAACCCAGCAGAGACCACCTCCTGCTAGTTCCCACACTCACCAACCCCCACCATGCTCACCACTTTGGTTTCCTGCCCTCCTAGGAGTCCCTGAAGCTGTGGCCTTATCTGCACGCTCCAACTTTTTTATTTGTTTAAGTTTTTAGAACACCCAGCCCTGCCCTAAGGAAGGTGGCTCTGTGCTGAACACAGGAAGTGAACGCGAATCAAGATTAGTCTCCCCTCAGACACCTCTTAGACAAGAATGAAAGGAGCTGTGAGTTCTTCACTCCCTCTCCCTTCCTCCCTCCCTCCCTCCCCCCCCCTCCCGCTCCCCGTGTGTGGGCACATGCATGTATCACACCACTCCATCCCCTACCCCATCCTTGGGGAGTCTATGGAGACAGAAGGTTTTATCTGGAGGAAGGGCCTAACAGACATCATGAATCACATCTGAGGAGAAAAACGGAAATGATTTTTTTTTCCTCCATGGTTTGTTTAATGGGGTGGACATAAAGCGGCTGGCAAGCTGGAGAGCCAGGCATAG